AGCCCGACTATATCTCACATACCTCTCAACCTCCTGCACAAGCTCGGGCTTCTTCCCCACCAGCGAGGTGACATTCCATGTCCCCAGGGCTAGTCTCCATGTCCAGAGATCGGGTCGTCAAGGCCCCTGCCTTCGACTGCTGCCCGATCCACTGTGCACCAGCCCCTTATGAATCCTCCTGCAGGTAGCTGGCCCATGGGAGGACGTCCCCACCTCGCTCAATCGGGCTAAGCCCGGCTGGGCCCCATGAGGGGAGGCCCGGCCACCAGGCACTCGCATTCGAGCCCTGACCCCGGGCCTGGCTCCAGGGTGGGGCCCTGGCTGCGCCATGTCGGGTGACGTCATGGTCCTTGATTTAATTCTTAAGCTGGAGCTGACAGGAGATATTTAAATGAAGAAGATGGCTATGCCTGGAGGGGAGGCAGAGGTCAATATCCTCATTTTTGCAGTTGGACATGCTTCACATTTAAAACTCTGATGTGGCACAGTTTAGGTGCAGTTTCCAGACAGATATATATACAAAAGTATATTTACAAGGTATTGCTCTGAGGGTTGTCGTTCTGTTATACAGTCATGGGTCAAGTGATCATCAGAGTGATGGCCTGGGGTAAGAAACTGTCCCTGTGCCTGGTTGTCTTGGTGCACAGTAACCTGTAACCCCGTCCAGAGGGGAGGAGTTCAAACAGGTTGTGTCCCAGGTGTGAGGGGTCTGCAGTGATCCTCTCCGCAATCCTTTTGACCCATGAGGTGTACAGGTCCTCCATGGAGGGCAGGCTCACACCAACGATCTTTTCTGTAGTCCCGACTGTCCGCTGAAGTCTTTACTTGTCCTGTTTGGTTGCTGAGCCAAACCAGACAGTGATGGAGGTGCAGAGAACAGCCTCGATGATTCCTCTGTAGAACTGTATCAGCAGCTCCTGGGGCAGGTCGAACTTCCTGAGCTGGCGCAGGAAGTACATCCTCTGCTGTGCCTTCTTGGTGATGGTCCTGATGTTGGACGTCCACTTCAGGTCCTGGGAGATAGTGGAGCCCAGGAACTTGTAGTACTGCTGATACAGTGCTGCCAAGTATGGTAAGTGGGGGCAAGGTGGGGGGGGTTCTTCCTGAAGTCCACTGTCATCTCCACTGTTCTGAGCGTGTTCAGCTCCAGGTTGTTGGGACCACACTACAGGACCAGCTGCTCAACCTCACGTCTGTCACTGTCTCGGATGAGACCAATGACCATTGTGTCTGCCTGCTGGCTGTCCTGTTTTTCTGATGTCAGGCTAGACTTCTGGAGTTCTGAGGAACTCTCACAGATAAATCATAACATATTATCTTCCTAGTAAAGAGGGGCAGTCCTTCTTCAGTGCTGCTGTTTGCCAGAGTTAACAGGGATTGTGAGGGATGATTGATCACACCTGTAGAGATCAAAGATAAAAACTGAACATGTTCCTCATCCCTGGTGTAGAAAACACATGTGGCTTCACTTAACACGCAGCTTTGTGAAACTTTGATGTTTGATGTTTTTATTTAGATTTTGAAGAGATCTTAAATACAGTACATATCTGAATCCCTTATTTACATAAAGAAAATGTAAGAAAAATAGGTAACAACGGTATACCCAACTCATATACATGGCAACTTTACAGCACTCGGAGTGAGATGGCAGAAACTTTGGAATGTGCATTTTTACAGAAGGGTGACAAATTAAGGGGAGAGTCTGGATAACTGACAGGAGAGCAAATGCAGATGCCTCTATACAAACCTTGAGGACAGTGGCTTGATGAAATGATATGGCCTTCACAGGCACCAGCTCTCTGCCCACTCTGAACACTTGCAGATTTTGGAGTAAGGCATTAGACAGGACCCTCCACCATCGTCACAACATCAAATGAAGGAATGTGTTTTGGGAGAATGCTGCTAATCTCTCCAGTAGTTACATTCTACACTCTGTAACAAGAATTAATGAAGCTGTTTTGGAGTGTTAAAACATCCTACTAAGACTTGGTTGTTGATATATGCTTTGTTAGTGCTGAATCATTTGACTCTTGCACACCCTGGTGGAAAAGTCCAGAACTGCTGCGGCTGCTCCTCCTTGGAAACTCGAGTTTTGTTTGGATTTATCTCAGTCTCTGTAAAGATTTCCCACTAGTGGCCACACTCTTAGCTAAACTTTATTTGGGTAGATGGGGTGACTCTATAGCAACTTCATTATATGGAAACCTTGCAATCTGTTGAGTCCAAATCTGAACTGATGCTGATTTAAAATAATTTCCTTTTCTTACAGCAGGCTTGGAAGCAATATAACATGAGATAGGGATGAGGCAGAGTCAGGAATATTACTGTGTATCACATATCGTTTCCCAAAGTGGCCTTTTGTTTTAATGAAAACTAATGACGCTGTCATTTTGTCAACATCAAGAGAAAAGATCATTTAAGAACAAATACACTGAGTCTTATTGTACCAACTGTAGCAAAATGACCTTAGTTCTTTACAGCTAGGCAGTGTTAAGTGTTACACTGAAACTACATAATGTGATGATGTGAAACTACACAAACTACTTGATTTACAGCTAAATATACTGTAGTGTATTTAAATATAATAAACATCTAAAATACAGATTATGATGCTCCATGGGTTATGTGAGGACCCAACACAACCTGTTCAGTGCTTCTTCCTGTACAGGGACCAGTAAGAGATGTACTCAGACTGACTCCACTGTAGAACGATGTCAGAAGCAGCTGGTCTGAGTGATTGATGTGACGGATTATATTGGTGCTGAGTGAGAAAACGTGACAATAAGCATATGAGCAAGTGAGGGCAACATATTGTGAACTAAAGCCTGAATTAATTTTCTATTTCCAGGATAAATATACCTGTATTGAAGATCTACTGAGAATTACACTTACAATTTTCCATGGAGTCATTATATTAAGAAAAACACAATCTTTTCGAAAAGGTAGCAAACAATGAACAGGGTAAAAAAATAAATCTAATAACCAAAAATCTAAATAAACTTTTTAAAAAAGAGAGAAATGAATTTAAAGACGCTGGACATAAAGCCAGTTCCAGTGTGCATAACAACAAAAAGCTGCCTTCTGTGTGTCACCTGTTGGTACATGTAATGCTGTAGTGCCTGATGATCAGAGGCTGAGGAGTGGCCTGGAGGCACAGAGGGCCAGAGATTATAAACCAATTAACAGCTTTAACAAAACTCAAACAGCAGTTGAAAAGCAAGCCAATGCACGAGATGTTTTCGCTCTACTTGTTTTGGTTGAAAGTGCATGTTGTATAAACTTAAGTCTAATTTCTAATAGCCAGCTAATAGAGGCTTTGCTCATAAATAGTGTTAAATCTTAAGAATCAGCTTCCACTCAGATAACTACCTCAGTCATGTTTAGTCATCCTGTTGGGTTTCACTTCATGTTATCATATTTATAGTTTTACCTGAATTTACATGAAGACACCCCCCAAAATAAATGAATAAATAATGAAACAAAGAAAGACAGGACCATCTGACTATTGTAAAATACATTTAATCCCTTTATATCTGGGCAAACCAAAGTCTATAAGAGTACAGATAGGTTGAGATTTAAGAGGCAGTGGGTCCTAAGTGGTACTTTATCAAGTCCAAGCAGCCAATCCACCACCAGGGAATACTGATGTTGTGTTGGTGTGTTTCTAATTATTTCTGGGGAGGAACTAGCCAATATAGTGAAGGTCTGATGTCCTCTCAGTCAGCACTGCCGCTAAATCTGTCACCCTTTCTGTCCAGACTTCTCTGATGACGTACCAGACAAAAGTCACAATACAAAGAGAAAAGGGAATACATTGTCTTTCGATAGCCTTCATTATATTCATCAGTACAATACATAAGACACTTTTACTTTTCTCAGTTAAAGTATGAAATGTTAAGACAAGTTTTTAGATGGTTGACAGATGCGCTGATAATATGGAAGGTTACACACAATGATACACTTTGATTGTATTTATGATGCATGAAAGTTAAGAGCGCTGCAGTGCTGTGTGCTAGTGCCAACAGCAGCTGGATCAAGTAGGGACAGACCTCAGGACAAAATATTTTCAAGCCTAGTCATGGCAAAAATATTGGCACACCTGCTTTTCTCAGATAATGCACCACCTTTCCCAGAAAACTTGCAATCACAAATTCTTTGGTATTCTCATGTTTATTTCTTTTGTAACAAAACAAAAAAGGCAGAGATCACACTATCAGTCACCATCTGAATGACAAGGGACATTATGGTAGGAGACCCAGGGGCCCCCACTGCAGACACAGAGATATAAAGAAGCCAAACTGGAGTTTGTCAAAACTTACCTGAGGAAGCCACAGTCCTCCTGGGAGAATGTCCTGTGGACAAATGAGGCTAAAATAGTCGAGCACATCATTCTACTGTTTTCAGAAAATGAAATGAGGTCTTCAAAGAAAAGAACACGTCCCTACAGTCAAACATGACAGAGGTTTCACTGATGTTTTGGGGTTGCTCTGCTGCTTCAGGCCCTGGATGTCTTGGCTGTGTGTATGGCATTATGAAATTTGAAGACTACCAACAAATTCTGGGGCTCAATGTAGGGCCAGCATCAGAAAGTTGGGTCTTACAGCAGGACAATGACCCAAAGCAAACTTCAGAAAGCACCAGAAATGGTTTCAGACAATGTGGCCATCAATGAGTCCAGATCTAAATCCCATAGAGCTCCTGTGGAGAGATCTTAGAACAGCAGCTGGGAGAAGGAACCCTTCAAATCTGAGAGACCTGGAGCAGCTGGCAAAGGAAGAGTGGTCCAAGATTTCAGTGGAGAGGTGGAAGAAACTCACTGATGGTTACAGGAAGTGACTGATTTCACTTATTTTGTCCAAAGGGTGTGCTGCCAGATACGTTGTCTATAATTCTGTCCAGACCATTTTTGGAGTTCTGTGTAGAATGGATCAGATTTTTCTGTTTTTTTGTTTCAATACAAACAAAAGAAATAAACATGAGAATACCCAAGAATTTGTGATTGCAACAATTTTCTGGGAGAAATAGTGTGTTATCAGACAGAAATGCAGGGGTGCCAATGTTTTTGGCCATGACTATGTGGCTTAATAAAAACCCCACTGTACTGCAGTTGAGTCCAATTTGTGAGCAACACTGTAGCTGTTAATATGACTGCACTGTCCTCTACTAGGACAAATATTACCACTGCAATCAGCCTGAGACTTAAAAGGAGCAGACAAGATCACAAACACTTGTAAAATCTAATCCAATACAATAGTCCTGAAAAACATGAATTTGTGAAAGTGACTATCATAATAGCGTGAATAATAAGAACTGCTGGTTGTAGCTTCATATTTAGCCTAAATTCTCTCATCTTACTTCCAGAAACAATGGGAATAAGCAACGGGCAAAATACTGTAAAGCGCTTTGAGTGTGGTTAAGTGTGTAGAAAAGCGCTGTATAATTACAAATCCATTTCACCATTTGTTACATACATTTTCTAAAATGTCCCAAAAAGCATTTATTTTTAAAGTTTTCCTGGCCAAAACGATCCTCCATATGTCTCTGATGCAATTTTATTCAATTTCATGTGTCCATGATATTTTGTCGATCCCTGTTTTGTGCGTGTAAACAAATACACCTGCTCCAGCTGTCAGAGGCCAAGCCACCTGCAAAGCAATATGAACAGGAGAAAGCTTAGCGCAAACCACTGGGCAGCTCAAAACAGATGAGCTGCCTTCTGGCTCCGCACTGGGAACCTATATGTAGTACTGTTATTACATGAAAGGTGAACATGAGGAAGATAAGTAGGCTGTGAATCTGGAGAGACAGATGAGAAGGACCAGACAAGGGCAACACAGATTCACAACACCAAACCAAGGACCGCCCCACTGTTAAACTGGAGTTTCACCATGCAACTCCTCTATTAGCAAGCAAAAGGCAGCCAATTTCCCACACGGCTGAACAAACAGGGACTGCTGGCTGAGTGTAGACTGTCAACAAGCACATAACATTTAACCACTGAGATTTTGGTTCCAGCTTCCAAAATTAACTGAGATGGGTGACAATGTAAGGCCAACACTAGTGCTTAACTAGTGCTCATACACACCATCTGGTTCAGCCTAGGGCAAGACAAACAAGCAGAGTACAGGAGGAATATAGGAGGATCTAATATCATATGATATCCATGCTCAGGCAGTCATAAAGGACTGGTGATATATTTTTATATACAGTTTATACATAAAACGGTGAGAAAAAAAATTTTAAAAAGCATTTTCATAGGCAAGGAAGCAGCAACCTACTGAATCCCTACAGGATTACAGCACTGGGACTAGTGACTAGCATTCATTTGTGATAACGTAATACAATATCTACATATCAAGTTAGGTCAAATTTGCAAAACAGCATGTCTGACTACCAGAAACTCATTGACAGTGTAACTAAAATGCTCAATGATTTACATTGCCTCCTTGAAGACTAAATCCAGCTAACGAATATGTGACATTTCCACTTAGATAAGAAAAGAAAAGAAAGGAAAAGAAAAGCGAGAGAGATGGAGACAGCGAAGTCGCCCTTCCTTCATTGGCGAGTCAGCTGACAGCCCGTCCCTTTAGTACACCGGGCTGTTGCGAATCCCACAGCACAGGACCATGCTGAAGATCATCTCAAAGATCTAAGAGGATAAACATGAACAGAAGTGATTGGCTTAGCTTAGCATAAAGACAGCTAGCAGGTTTTAATAACACACCTGCCAAGTTATAAGGTTATATCTTGTTTTATCATTTTTAGAGAGAGTTGCATGAAACTACACTCAGCTAAGTTTATTAGGTACACATAAGCTTCCTGCCACAAATCCTCCTCCATCATCATGTTCAGTTTGTGTTCAAACTGTTTCAGAGGGGTGTTGAAGCAGTTAAAGAAACAGCTGTTATTACATTAGTTTTTGTGTACGATTTAAAGCCAACAGACATCATATTAATATGTGAGCCTTAAAGGCTTGACTGATATATTTTGGGACTTGAGACAGAACCAGCAATAGCTATCCCCCCGTTTACAGTCTTTATGCGAGCTAGTTCACACTCAGTACTACTGTGATCTTGTACTCTAGCTTTGTGTAGAACAAACTGAATAAGCTGGCATTTTGACACCAATATTGTTTTTAATTGATGATAAATACCATAACATTGACTACTGGAAACACTCTATTTATTCCTGGTTAAGTGACATTTTCTAGAAACTACAATGCCCAGTTGTTTTAGGAAACTACTGAACCTTTTCAAAATATGAAACAATATTGATGAAACCTGGAGTAGAAACCCCTTGTCAGGGACTGGGTGCCACTGACATGTGGGGAAGTCAGAAAGTACTGAACTGCTGAAGTCAGACATTAAATGCGCTTATGTCTTTTAGCTAACTGATGCAGCTGAACCAGTATATTCATTTGTTCTTACACGTTATTGATCTTACACATTCTACTTATAATCTTTTATCCATTGCATCACTTCAGTCAATGAGCACTCTTAAGAGTCATTTCAACTGGATGCGGCTTCATTGCGTATCGTTCTGTGCTGTGGGTTTGATCCATCCTCTGTGCGGCTTCATCCCCCACCAGGTCCATCTACTGAGTGACTGCAGAATGGTTCGTTCATTGTGGTGCCAATTTCTCCTTTTTGAGCTTCTACAGTAAGTAGGCTTCTTAGTTAAATGGTTTCATTTTTGTATGTTGTGTTCATTGTTCTTATTTCCCACTTTATGCTGTAGCCTACAGAAAAAACTACAGTTAATAGTTAAATTTAACAGATATAGTTAAGTTGCTATGACACACGGATCAGATTTTTGGCTGTGTTTCCGTTCTTAATGATACATTCATTGTCACAGGCTAATCAATTTGTAGCCTATCTATATTTTGCTGGGAAGGTGCTACTTGATTGGTGAGTCAAACTTTTTCAGATGCGTTCCAGATATGGCATCTGTCAAAAATATACTAGATGCATAACTTTAGCAAAGTGGAGAGAGCAACATGTGGGACGCATCGGAGACGAGATGCTGCCAGATCGAGTGAGAACACAGCCTCTGACTGGCAGTGATCAGCTCTGGCAATCGCGTCACAGTAGAAACGCAACATAGCCGCATCTGGTGGAAACTAGAGGCTAGGCTACATACAGACACACACTGCTATGATTATGTTACCATGCAGTGGAGGCTAAATAAAGTACATTAAGGCTTTAATGTTGTCAGTCTCTGTGTAGATTTATTTACTGAACACACTATAGTGTTAAGGTATGGACCCTCTCTTAGCTTCTGGATAAATTCAAGAAGAAAAACACCATGTTAATGAAGGGTCTGATGTGTGTGAGGTGCTGCTTCATGTTCTCACCATAATAATGGCAACCACCAGAGCAGCAATGCCAATCAGGTAAATCTTCTCAGAGAACAATTCATTGATCCTTTGGTGGCAGTTCTGTAAGGGAAAACCATTCAAACATCTCATTCTATTTCAAAAAAGCAACAGTGTCCTGACTATGCAGTCAAAGAGAAGCTTTGGACCATCAGTATGTAAGTGCTATTCCAGTTATTCTTTCTCCCCAAACTGATTATCAGGCTGAAATGGAATCTGTGCCTGTGGACAGGACCTCCACAGATATTCCACATATTTTGAAAAGAAAGTAGAAACTCAGAATGTAAGCATGTGTTTGCCCCCACCTGCATGTGCACAACAGTTGTGTGATACAAGTGTTTTTTGTCGTTTTCCAAGCCAAGGATCTGACATTCACATCTACTTCACACCTTGACTGGCTAGTTGCACATCTCTGTCTAGTGCTTCTTTTTCATTCCTTAAACATTACTCTAAAGTATTAGAGGATAATAAAAATAATATGAGAGGTATGTGGAATATATTAAATAAATTGATTAGAAACAGTACCAGCATGAGTAACTACCCTCAATATTTTATGGATAATGATACACCGGTTAATAGATTGGAGGATGTAGTAGATAAGTTTAATAGGTTCTTTGTGAATGTTGGTCCTGGTTTAGCAAGAAGCATTTGTACAGATGATACATCCGTCACTATAAATAATAATACAATTGAAAGGAACATGAGTTCTATGTTTTTGAAGCCCATAGTTGAAAAGGAAATTATAGAGATAGTGAACAAATGTGGTAATAAATCATCCAGTGATAGTGATGGTATCACTATGACAACTGTTAAATGGGTAATTGAGGGGATATGCAAACCATTAACCCATATTTTTAACATGTCGTTTCGACTTGGGCAGTTCCCCAATAATATGAAAATAGCAAAGGTTATTCCACTGTATAAATCTGGGGATAAGCACAACTTCACAAATTATAGACCAGTTTCTCTGTTGTCACAATTTTCAAAAATTCTGGAAAAACTCTTTAATAACAGATTAGATACATTCATTGAAAAAATAAAATCCTCTCTGATTGCCAATAAGGTTTTAGGTCGAACCGATCGACATCTTTGGCCATTACCGACCTGATGGAGGACATTACAAGTGCTATGGATGAGAAGAAATACACGATGGGGATATTTATTGACCTAAAAAAAGCATTTGACACAATCAATCATGAATTATTAATGGACAAGTTAGAAAAATATGGGATCAGAGGAATGGTTCTGAAATGGATTAGAAGTTATTTGACACAGAGGCGTCAATTTGTGAAGTTGGGTGAATACCAATCGAGTGAGCTGGATATTAGTATGTGGAGTGCCTCAGGGTTCTGTTTTGGGACCTAAATTATTTATATTATACATTAACGATATATGCAAGGTTTCTGATTTAGTGAAAGTGGTTTTATTTGCTGATGACACTACCATATGGGCATCAGGTGAAAACCTACAGCAACTCTCTGGACGGGTTACACAGGAACTTGAGAAGATAAAGAAATGGTGTGACAGCAATATAGTATCTCTGAATTTGGATAAAACTAAATTTATGGTATTTGGAAATTGTAGACTAGATAATGAACTTAAATTGAAAATTGGGGGAGCTAATATAGAACGAGTATATGAAATTAAATTTCTAGGTGTCATACTTGATGACAAATTCTCCTGGAAATCGCATATCAGATATGTTCAGCACAAAATAGCAAAAAATATATAGATATTGGCAAGGGTTAGATATATTTTGGACGGGAAAGCACTACACATTTTGTATTCTTCATTGATTTTACCATACTTAGAGTATGGCATTGAAAACTGGGGAAATACGTATTCAGATCCCCTTAAATTTTTCCCTCTTTGTTATATTGCAGCCATATGCTAAAATCATTTGTTCATTTTTTTTCCTCATTAATGTACACACAGCACCCCATATTGACAGAAAAACACAGAATTTTTGACATTTTTGCAGATTTGTTAAAAAAGAAAAACTGAAATATCACATGGTCATAAGTATTCAGACCCTTTGCTGTGACACTCTTATATTTAACTTAGGTGCTGTCCATTTCTTCTGATCATCCCTGAGATGGTTCTACACCTTCATTTGAGTCCAGCTGTGTTTGATTATACTGATTGGACGTGATTAGGAAAGCCACACACCTGTCTATATAAGACCCTTCAGCTCACAGTGCATGTCAGAGCAAATGAGAATCATGAGGTCAAAGGAACTGCCTGAAGAGCTCAGAGCCAGAATTGTGGCAAGGCACAGATCTGGCCAAGGTTACAAAAAAATTTCTGCTGCACTTAAGGTTCCTAAGAGCACAGTGGCCTCCATAATCCTTAAATAGAAGACGTTTGAGACGACCAGAACCCTTCCTAGAGCTGGCCGCCTGCCCAAACTGAGCTATGGGGGGGAGAAGAGCCTTGGTGAGAGAAGTACAGAAGAACCCAAAGATGACTGTGGCTGAGCTCCAGAGATGCAGTCGGGAGATGGGAGAAAGTTGTAGAAAGTCAACCAT